TTATAAATGTGAAGTTTGAATTTTAATTATTTTTCGCAAATCTTATTAATTAAATCGTTTACAAAAAAATATGACGTGACAATTCGGGTTCACGGAACTCGAGGCGTTACATGACAAACCACTTTCTTGGCATTCATATTCCCCAAATTCAACCCTTTTTTTGTTGGGAACCCTTCAGAATTTGGAGGCCCTAGGCCCAAGTATACAATTTCGAAGCCCTAGGCTTTTGACTTGGTGACTTGACCGTAGGGTCGGCCCTACGCCCAGGCCCCAGGCGTGGTATTTTCGCCAAACATGCGCACCATTTTGAACACTGATAAAAACTGTCAATTACTAACTATAGAAGTTGGTATAAGCCATGAAGGCCTGCCTTGGCCAGTTTTATACCCCAGAATTGATTATACCTAATTTCTAAGGGAGGAACCTTCCCGTCATAAACACTATAATTCAAAAGGAAATCCTTTAAATTAATCCATGGCGTCTAAGTCCAACTTTTTGTGCACATTCTTCGTTGTGCTCATTTAGCGCTTGATCCCTAATTTTTTTCAAAATACATTTTTATTTATCTTCTTTTCAACCACACATTTTTCAATAAAATAATATTATATATAACTCAAAAAATTTCTTCATTTTTAACCACAATTTACTATTCCAAAATGTATTCTACACAAAAAATAGGGCTCAAATAGCACCCCCCCCCCCTCCTTTTTTTTAATAAAAAAATAATTACACAAAATTATTAACCAGACGAATTATCGTTAATTGAGAATTTATTGTAGGTAGGATTTGAATAGTAGCTTACCTATTTATGTTTAATCTCCTTGAGATTTGTAGTAAATATTTAAATATAATGTAGGATCAATTTAGTGAATGACAATTACGAGTTAATTGTCCCAATAATCACTAAACTTATGTCCATGTCTTCGACTACTCATTGAAGTTTAAAATATCGAAATTTGACTACTAAACTTGTATAAACGTTGGACGTTGCTCACTGGTTTAACTTTTGTTTATAACCTCTAACAAAAGTGTTGACGTGCATGACAGAATGTCCATATGGCACCGCGTAACAATTACCACGTAAAGAGCATCTTACATTGCTCACCATACTTTAGAAATTGTCTTGAATTGCTCACTATACTTTGAAAAAGGTATTCGACTACTCACTATATTTTAAAAAACGTTTTCGATGGTTCACTAAACTATTAATTAAACATGGAATGTATTTTCACTTCCAT